CTCCTGTCTCTGCACTCAGGAATTACTCCCGGCAGTGCTCAGGGGACCACATGGGATGCTGGGAATCGAGTCTGGGTTGGCTGAGTGCAAGGCAAATGCCCTACTCGCTCTGCTACCCCTCCAGCCCCCAAGGCAATTTTAATAAAGGAAACTTATTTAGAAAGTTGTGAAGGAAGAGAAAGAGAGCAAGTATGTGTTCAAGAGAGAACATGGGCTTCTCCAGAATGGAAAATACAAGCAAGCAGAGGTACCAAGAGACAAACAAGTAAGAGGCTTGAGAACTTGGGCTTGAAGAGCAAATATTCTTCCTTTTTTTAAACAGTTTTTTTAAAAAAAATTAAAGAGATATCAGAATATTAAAATAGAATATTAAAAATTAAAGAGATATCAGAATATTAAAATAGAAAGAAGAAAAGAAGGAGAAAGAGATAAAGAGAGAAGAAAGAACAAAGTATGGAAAACATGCTGCTCCAATCTTTAGTCCTAATACCACTGTGAGTTTATTAAGTTTTGAATTTTTATCAAGTAATGAAAAAAAAAGGAATGGTTACTGGCTAAATTTAGCACCCTGTCCCTAGCTTATGCCATGGCTTTTAAATGCAAAAATAATTAAACTTTGGAACTCTTTACTCTTAAATGCAAAAATAATTAAACTTGGGAACTCTTACTCTAATGTAAGGATTTCCTTGTTAAATTATTGCCCTTAAAAGATTTCTTATCACAGTGGGGAAATAAAGTTTGAAGCAATGGCTGGGCCTGAAGAAACCTCAGTAGCTTCAAGTTCCTAAATTAAGTGAAACTTTCTACACAGCCAATCTCTGATACCGCTGTAGGCACTAAGTCATCCTGACAAACCCCTTGTTTGTGGAATGGGAAAAAGGAAAACATAAGTTAAAAAATAAGAAGGGATTTCTTAGGGAAATGATTGTCTCTGCTGGTGTTCGATTAACCAAAAATTTAGGTGACTTTATTTTATTTCAGTGGGAAAGATTTAAGCTGGAAGTCCTCCCAACTCTGGCCACTCATTACAAAGATTCTTCCTCCCATCTCTGCTGCAGGGGTTCCGTGGTGAGGGCACAGGGGGTTAGAGATCCAGGATCTTGGTCCAAGTGCTTCTGCCTCTTCCATGTGTTGTGATCTCACACATTTCCTCATCTTCTGTTCCTCAAGGGGATAATGAAGACAAGGATTCCTATAAACAGGCAAATTTTAGTAGTAGTCATTAATTAATGTCACTCCATATTATAAAGCTATGATTACACGATAAATCTAAGAAATACCATTGTTCAGTCAGTTAAACCTCAGATTCTCTCTACGTAATATAGTATATTGAGCATCTTTTTTAGAAAAAAAAACTTCAAACCATATAAAAATTGTACAGACTTCTATTTTCTAGTTTTAGGGTCACATACTCTTGAGATGTGTAAAAAATATGCATTTGGAGGACCTTCACTGCAACAGCTCAATATTCTTTAAGATTACTTTTGGAGGGGGAAAAAAAAAAGAGAACAAAAATCTTATAACAACACCTGCTATTTGGCAGAATTTGACCTGACCCCTTTCTCCTTTTCTTGTTATTGTAAACACCAAGCTCTTTAAGTGAGAGCTGTTTAAAGGATCGAGGGCCGTGAGTGTTCCTTCCTAGATCCCAGATGCATTGGGAGACGGATGGGCTTTTTGATCTTTATTTTATGAGTGTCTGATAAATTGCCTCTGGCACCTGGCAACTGAAATTTCACTATCTGAAAACTAACCCGCATGTCAAACAATGTGACCAGTCTCAGCCCCTCAAATGAGGACCGGTGTGGCTGCATGGAGGACGCCGTCCAGTTCCTGGACAGGTTTACTTCCATGCTCAGGGATTTACATACTTTTAATTTTAGAGGGAAGGGGGGATTATTAAAGGCTTTAAATGCTATGCAAAAATGTGTTTTTTGAAGGATTTCATCAGCGCTTTTATTGGGGGATTTTTGAACAAGTCAAATAAAGACTTCAGCACACTGTCTAACAGAAAAAAAAAAGTGCTAGTAAGAGGATCAAGATTTGCAGCTTTGGGTCATGGGCTTCCCCTTCTCTAGCCTGGGTTTGTGTGTTGATACAAGAAGAATGCAGGTGGTCTCTTTCTAGGGACAGAAGAGTATAAACAAAGTCATCAGCTGAAGCTATTATCACCTTTCTTTTAACATCTTATCCAGAGCAAGATAAACTCTTCTGCTAGAAAGAGCTATATGTTTTTGCTCTGTTTACAGAGATTGGAAATATATGCAGATTTTTAATTTTTAAGAAGGGAGAAAAAAGAATGAGAATGATACAAACACTTGTACATCCTGTTGATTCTTAACGAAAATTGAAGGCAGCGAGAACAATGCTAAACAAAACATAAAATAACCTGAATTTTCAATGAGGGTTTTATCCTAATGGAGAGGCCCCTAAGCCCTGCCACCTGAGGGATCTGAGCCGTTTGTCATTTTTGATCTTCCTCTGTCTTCTAAACCTGGAGGGCTTAGGATTTGTTGTTACTCAAGGAAGATCTGGGGAGATTTGTTCGCTGTTCTCTAGCTCAAAGATGGTTGTTAATCTCTTAATGTCTCCTTCTGGGTTGTTGCTGTATAGGTTTCTGGATTATTTTACAGATATCTAATCCCGTTGGTTGGATTTGTGTTTTCATCGGCTATATTTTTGCTTGTATTATTTTTTGTAGCCAATATGCGATCTCTATATTAGGCTTGGACATCTGAAACAAAGTAACTCCTGTAAAAACAGAAATAAGCTATGTCAATAAATACTAATCTAGCAGCATTTGTTATTCAGCAAGTGTTATTTATCACGTTTGTTTTTGGAATTTTAGAAGTAAGTTTGATCTTTCCTTAGTCTCATATGAAAGATATGTGTATATATATGCATATATATACATGTCTATACATATATGTATATATTTTATATATGTAGAAATTGGAAAAATACAAATTTTATCATTATTTTCTCTGAAGATTGTATCTTAAAATATGGGGCTACAAAAGAGAGGAAAGGGGAAATTTTAGAGGTGACATTTGGGCTCAGCCTTGAAAACTGAGTAGACCTTCTTTGGGTTGGCAAGACAGGTAAAACAATTTAAACAAAGGACATGTGATGAGCAATTAATGGATTGTAAAATCTAAAGTGCTTAAAACAGTTTCTGGACACGTAGTGAGTATCAATAAATTCTTTTTTTCTCTCTTAGCACTATGATTTATAAGCCTATTAATAATAGAGTTTCAGGAACACAGTGTTCCAGCTGTAATCCCACCGCAGTATTAGTGTCTCTTCACAATTGTCCCGGTGTTCTCTCCTACTCCCCACACTGATGCTCTAACATAGTTTCAAACTAAATTGTAGTTTGGGTCCCATGCTAATCATGATGTTGATTCTATGAGCAGTTTGGGTGAAGAGAACGCATCTCTGCACCACTGATATGTCAAAGGCCCCTGACCATTGCTCTGTTACCTGTAGAATGCCTATTGTTACTCTCCCCTACATTTCTTTTGTCTTTTTCATTCCTGTAAACTAGGGCCAAGGATTTTCCTACTTATCCTGTACCAAATGTTACATGATTTATATATCACAGATAGATGAGGATATCTGTAAATTTGTTCTTTTCATTCTGATGTACCTTACTTATCATGACTTCCTCAAGTTCCATTTTAGTTGCAGTGAATTGCATGATTTCATCATTCCTACTGGCTACAGAGTATTCCATTGTATTCTGTTTATACCACAACTTCATTCATCGTCGACTCTGATGTTGTTGAATATTTTAGTTACAGCCATTATATTAACTGCTGCAATGAAGAACAAAGTACATATATCTTATAGAATAAATATTTTTGCATTTTAGGAGTGGATACAACAAGATGACTCTTTTGGTCATAGGGGAATTATATTTCTTTTTATTTAGAAATCTCCATACTGTTTTCCTTAGGGTCTAAACCAAACAACATTCCTAACAACAGTGAAAATGTACACAGTTATATTTTATCTTACTGATCACATTATTTTACAAATATGCATTAATGAATTAATTTAACTTTGAATCAGATTTGTGTTCACCCAACTTTGAAATTCCTCTGATTATTGTGACATAAAATCTCTTTATGATTCTTGCAACTTCCTGGTTGAGAGATTGAAGACATCATTAAGCTCTTTGAATTCAGCATAGTAAAATTTTCCAAACTCTTCTCATCAGAAAGACCAAACTCCAGGTACCTGGTATTGTTCTCAAGCAATATTAGAGATGTAAAATCAGGTTTTGTGAGTCTGAAGTACTGCTAGTGAACTTGCTGGTTCACTTTAAACACATTTTTTTCCCTTTAAGTATGTTAACACTATTTTTGTTGCTCATTAAATATTAGTCATTTCATGGGGATGTAAAGTAAAATAGGAACTGGGACTTTCAAGTTTGTGGTAGAAGGGAACAGAGTGGGAATGAATGATAGAAAAAACAATTTATTCCTTGTAACAACTGAAATAATAAAATGTAACTTCTGAATGCCTTTTCTACACATTTAAATTTTTAAAATTTATTATTTTTAATTAAAATTTGTTTTAATTGCATCATCATGAAATACACAGTTCCAAAGTTGTTCATGGTTTGGTTTCAGTCATACAATGTCCCAACACCCAACTCTTCAGCACTGGAAAATTCCCATGGCCAACTTCTTCAATTTCCTTTCCATGCCCTATCACCAGACTGCCTCTATGGCAGGCAGTTTTCTTCTTGCCAGCTTAGATATACCGATGTCTTATTTTCAATATATCCAATAAATTTTGTTTTTCAAGGTTTTGTTTGACTTAAAACTAAAAAATGACATATTTTAAATGACCTCCCTCCCTCCCTCCCTCCCTCCCTCACTTCCTTCCTTCCTTTCTCCCTTCCTCCCTTCTCTCCCTGCCTTCTGTTTTCCAATATTGAACTACCCAGCATTAGAACATAGACTAAAACACACTGTTCTCTTCTTTTATAGGTTGTGAGAGAATGCGAGGAGAGAGCCAGGAGTGATCCCTGAGCATCACTGAGTCTAACCCACAAACCAAAATATTTTTTTAAAAACTTAAAATAACTTCCTTGTATACTGTCAACTCCCAGATTTTTATTTTGGGGAGACCAGAAAACAAGGGTCCACAGAGATGCATTTTTTCTCCCTCACATCATGTTAGTGCACATACAGACACATGCTCAGTAAGTCTGGAATCATTGAAACAACTGAGTCTTCCATTTCTTTGAAATAATCAAAATCAGTTTACTTAAATTGATATTATATTGACCTTTCCTCAATTGTTTCTCCTTTTAATTTCTAATTATTTTTTTTTAAATTGAGTCACCATGAAATACACTGTTCCAAAGTTGATCATGATTTAGTTTCAGTTATGCAATGTACCAACACCCATCCCTTCACCGTTGTAAAATTCCCATGGATAATGTCTTCAGTTTCCCTCCCACCCACCACCTCCAGACTGCCTACTGTCAAATAAAGTGAAATAGGAATTAAAGTACAGAGTGAATGACTTTTTGTTCACATACAAAGTAGTATTTGAGATAATTTCTCATTGTAGACTAAGTGAGCATAAAAGTAATGTGCTCATGGTTTTTTTTTATGCAGTTTACATAGCTAATAGATAGCTGGCTAGATAGTCTGGAACTATTGTGATGCGTTAGAAGACACTTCTCAATGCACTGTCAGAATGATGAGAAAGCCACATAGCCATTTTGTGCTGATATATATATATATGTATATATATATATATGTGTGTGTGTGTATATATATTTAATAAAGAATTAGATTTTAATGGCTAATCTTTACATATTCAAAATGCTTTTAAAACTAAGCAAAGAAATTAATAGAGAGCTAAGCTGAAAATAAATCTTATAAATCACTTTAGCATCTCTCTCTCTCTCTCTCTCTCTCTCTCTCTCTCTCTCTCTCTCTGTCTCTCTCTCTTATTTTTGGCCACATGCAGCAGTGCTCAGGATTTATTCCTGGCTCTGTTCTCAAGCGTCACTCCATGCAGTACTCAGTGTACCATATGTGTTGCTGGGGATCAAACTAGGGTCGGCCACATGCAAGGGAGTCTGTTCTGTCTTTCTGGCTCTGTTTATGTATTTTATCCATTTTTTATGGATCAGAATAAATGGAGCTGTTAAGATTAAGGAAATTCCTCTGTGATTAATGGAAACACATCATGAATTTTGCTCTTCCCCCTGCTTTCGTGATTGCATTCTCTTCTTGTTGATGACAGTTTAACTGAATCTTGGATCCATGAGTGGACTTTTCCTGAATTAATGGAACACGTACCTCGTTTGCTGATACGTGGAGCATTTAGCAAAGTGACAAAGATCTTATCACTTTAGGCCTAATTCATTCAAGCAGTATGTAGAAGTTTAGAATAATGTTCACTCAGGCCAAAGAACCTAAACATCAAGACACAAGTTTCATCTCTTCATTTGTTAAGGGAAATGTGGAATGATATTTCTCATTTAAACACAGAAACAGAGCATGTGGAAATGTGTGTGTGTGTGTGTGTGTGTGTGTGTGTGTATGTGTATGGCCTGGGGTTGAGTATAAGTGAGTGTACACATACATTAATATACAGAGGCAGTTTGCTACAATAGAGGAGAATCAGACATCTAACATTTCTGATTGTCACATTCCCTCAGAAACCAGGGACACGAACATCTGCAGTGTGTCAGGAAATGGAGGCATTTGGAAATGTCTGGTTTGGATATCATCGAATGGACAATGAATTAAATAAAGTGAGGGAGGGATCAGAGTGTGGTCCTCCCTGCTTTATGGATAAGCTGAGATTGTAGAGTGTGATGGTTTAGTCCGTCTAGCCAGGTCAGGAGTGAATGATCTGCTGCTGCTGAGAGGTAGTTGAAAAATAGTTTCGCTTTAATTGTTTTATTGTCTATTTTGCTTTATCACGGCTTGGGGGAGAGAAGAGTTAGAGATAAGAAAAGTGACATAACCCATGTGCAGAAGAAGCCTCTGTCAAAGGCCTGAGATGCTTCTCTGGTATATCACGTTTCATTTGGCAAGACTCTCTCCTTGAGTGTCTGGAAAAATACACAGAAATTCCTGGAAGGTTTCTTACCATGAGACTATGAAGAGTTTCATGAATGGAATATAAAGCAAACAAGTATTTAGAAATAAAAAGGTGCCTCCAATTCCAGTCTTTTTTGTCTCGTGGCTCATTCATGGTCACTTAAAGGACAAGTGACTTACCCTAGAACTTCTTCAGTCAGACAGGACAAGTGACATAAAGGACAAGTGACTTACCTTGGAACTTCTTTAGTCTTTGGAGAGAGTGGAGGTGTTGGGTTATACCTGGCAGTGTTGGGAAATTACTCATGGATCTGTGCTGGGGGTCACTCCCAGCAGTCTTTACTGGACCATGTAGTAGAGTGATTAAACTGGGTGGGCTGCATGCAAGGTAAGTGCCTTTCTTTCCTGGCCCTGGCAACTATGCTTTTCTAAGCAACAGATTTATCTATGAAATATCCCTTAATTCATTCATTAAGGAATAAATCCAGTCAGGAAAGAGGCCTGGGGTAAGGTAACATCTCTATCCTTTCAAGGCTGGTAGTAAAACTTGAATTTTATCTCTATCTAAATCTTTCTTCTTATCTGCTTGTTGAAGAAAGCAAGAAAGCAAGAAAGCAAGAACAAAAGAGAAAGAAAGAAAGAAAGAAAGAAAGAAAGCTCTCATATAGTGCCTTTGTGAAGTTTAAAGGAAATTGATAAGGAATTTAATATAATGCCCAGAAAATATTTAGCACTCCTTCACTTTTATTGTTTCAACCATCACATACAGTGAAAAACTAAATCACAGATTTATAGATGGATTTTTGGGAAAACAGCTTGTGTGCCATTTTCATTCTTTAAACTGACCCCATTAACCCCATTTAATGAAGTACAAATTAGTTTTATCTTCAGTCTCAACATCAGTATTTGAGTCTAATCCTACAAGAATTTAGCCTATTTTTTTCCCAGAATTACTGTTGTCCACTTGATTGTAAGTAGTATCATGGTAACACTCTACTTTATTTTTACTCCTACTTGGTATATTGACATAACACCTTTAGGACTGACAGTATAATTTGAGGTTTGTCAGAACTTAGCCAGAGCATAACACAGTGTCCTTTGCTCTCTCATAGTATAATTAAATCTCCTCTCACTGGAAATTCAATATCTTCTTTTGAGAGAAACCAGAATACTTTTGAAAAATTTTTGGTGCTTGAAAGACAGTGCTCTGTATACATGAGACACAGCTTATTTTCTCTCCATTATAATGGCTCACATTCTCACATCTGCTTTGTTAGGACTGCTTTCCATTTTGAAACACAGAAAGTTGTTAATTTATCATAATTTGCAATTTTTTGACAAAATTGAATTACTCAGTGTGTATACATATTTTTTATTTTTATTTTTTATTTATTTTTAAAATATTTATTTATTTATTTATTTACCCCGTCCTCCACCAATGCCCATCTCCACCACCAATGATCCCAGTAGCCCACCCACCCATATTTTTTGATTTTTAGTGTTAGTGTTGCTTCATCATACAACAAGCCATTTGCAAAGACTTTAAAGAATAATTTGAGATATCAATAATTTAAAACTGTCATGTGACCGGTGGAAATTGTTGCCCACAGATTAACAGACACCTTTTGTATGAACTGTACTTACAGAAAAATTAACAATATCTTTACAGTTACTTCTCTATCCACTACTGACAAATTGCTTTAAACAATTAGTTGTAAGCTGGTGTCCCAATTTGGGGAAACAACGAACAAAAAAGTAACATCTAAATTGAAAGGATTAGCTACAGCTATCTATGGCATATCCTAGCTTGCGGGAATTGTTATATATGATGTTTCAGTAATTGCCTCTTTTTCATACAGGAAAAGCACTTCAGTATTTGTTTTTAATCCTCTGTGTTTGTTTCTGCAATAGTTCAGTACATTTGACTTTTTCATTAGAACACTCCCAGGAGGCAAATCCATTAACCTATTTGAGAATTTGAGCTTTAGGAAATACTACATTTCTTTGGTGTAGACCCAAAGAAAATGACTCTAGTGAAGTGAGTTTACAATTGACATTTTAGTTCTGGCCACTTGATACCTGTGTAACTGTAAGTAAGAGATTTCTGCGATCTTCAGTTTTCTCCATCTGTAAATAAGTATAATATGCACTTTTTGTTTATCTTTAATCATTTAAGTGCCCCACAGACTTCACTATTTGATTATTTTTCACTTGCCAGCATAGATACAGGTGTGCTATCTAAAAAATTGTAATTTATGATTATGGCCAAAGAACATTACAATGGCCTCTCTCTTTGCCACTTTGTAGGTTAAAATTGAACAAAAGCATTCTCTAAGTTTTATGGCTCCACTGAGAGAATGAGCTTTGATAATATTAGCAAATGAGAGTGATAGCACAGCGGTGGAGTGTTTGCTTGCACATGGCTGGTTTGTCCGGGCCGGGTTCGATTCCTCCGCCCCTCTCAGAGAGCCCAGCAAGCTACTGAGAGTATCTCGCCTTCACGGCAGAGCCTGGCAAGCTACCCATGACATATTTGATATGCCAAAAACAGTTAACAAGTCTCACCATGGAGATGTTACTGGGCCAAATCAATGAACAATGGGAGGACAATGCTACAGTATTACAGCAAATGAGAGAAGCAAAGAAACTTAAAGGAAATTCACTTTACTTTCACTTTAAATACATTTATTTTTTAATTCTTCCTCTTCCCTTATAGTACTAAATGCTTTTTTTCAAACAGCAAATGTGAGATTTGATATGAATGTCAACCTTGCTACATCTTTTGCTGTCAGTAATTTCTGAGTAAACACAATTTACTTTGAAAAGAAGTTGTAGACATGCTAACTAGGCCCAAGAAACATTTAAGTGTCTTCATTTGCAGTTAGGTAGGCATTTCAAAGGAAGTCTAGCAGGCTCTATATGAAGAAGGGATGGGAATGGGTTTGTGCATAAGAGAAGAATTTGCAGACACATAGTCTCTAAGAAAGACCACCTGATTGGTACCTTGGGAATCTAATGTCGTTTTTCCTTTTGAAGGAAAAAATGCACTTAGAGTTTCTTTTCCTGCTAGGTCCTAAACCCTAAATATCTGAGAGCTCATGATCCAA